AATGATCCCCCCACACATGTACAGACAATTATTGTCGTCATGCTGGTCACTCGACCCTGTCATACTCTCATCGTGTGGATGTATGTCTAAATGATCCCCCCACACATGTACAGACAATTATTGTCGTCATGCTGGTCACTCGACCCTGTCATACTCTCATCGTGTGGATGTATGTCTAAATGATCCCCCCACACATGTACAGACAATTATTGTCGTCATGTTGGTCACTCGACCCTGTCATACTCTCATGGTGTGGATGTGTGTCTAAATGATCCCCCCACACATGTACAGACAATTATTGTCGTCATGCAGGTCACTCGACCCTGTAATACTCTCATCGTGTGAATGTATGTCTGAATGTACAGACAATTGTCGTCATGTTGGCCACTCGACCCTGTCATACTCTCATCGTGTGGATGTATGTCTGAATGTACAGACAATTGTCGTCATGTTGGTCACTCGACCCTGTAATACTCCTATCGTGTGGATTGTCAGTTTAATTTGTTTGGCAGGTGATCATCTATATGGCTACAAAATTAGGTTAGCAATGGCAGATGAGATGTGTGTGTCTGTGATTGATTTGAAGGTGGCAGTTGTCCGGTCTCACTATCAGTTATAATAGCATTATAGCTGTAAACACAGCACGTGATTATTGTAAAACGTCCTATTTCCATTTCTAGGGGCATTTATGTTGATGAGAATGCTCATTATTTGGATCCAGCCATGGAACAAGTACTTATATGTATTGAATGATGGCTTTGTCATCTTGTGGAAATGGTGAAATATACAAATCTGCATGTTGTTTCCAATTTTAATACTTTAGGTCATGAATACTGCTTTGATTAAAAATGTGCAATTTGCTAACGGCAGATTTATTTACCTTATAATGGATTATTTAAACAGACATCTAGACCTATAAGAAGGAACCAAATTGTTTGCTGTGTTCTGGGTGTGAAACAGGATATTCAGCATATAAAGTGTCAAGTTGTCAAATAAATAGGCTTAATTACAGCATATTGAGTAGCAACAAGTAAGTGTATTTGTTAAACAAATCATAAACAAAACAATTTTATGTGTGAAATAATCTATTTTCAAACTTCTTTTATTAGTCTTATGATTATGTCTCTCCTTCAAATGAAGGGAGACGTTGTATTAGTACTGGTTCTTCTTCTGGTTCTTCTAATAGCAACTTGTCCGGGCCATACATTTTAAACCGTTAAAGATATCTTGATGAAACTGGAGGTATGCCTGCATCACCCACAGAAGGTGTGCAGTGCACTGGAATTAGGTCACTGTGACCTTCACATCATGGTCAAAGGTCAAATAAGTGCAACATTTTCAGTAAATTCTTGTCAGGCCCATACATTTTAAACCGTTTAAGATATCTTGATCAAACTTGAAATATACCTGCATCACCCACAGAAGGTGTGCAGTGCACTGAAATTAGGTCTTGTACCCCACTTCATACAGAGTTATTGCCCTTTGTTTATTTTCAATAAATTTTTATATTTTTTATCATGACAACATTATGGTTTAAAAAATGGTTATCAGAACATACTTATTATTTATTTCAGTTCAGATGTTTATGAAGTTTTTTGTTGTTACTTTTATGTATCATTATATACTTAAACTGGATATCTGGAATCCTGGTAAACAAATAAGCTGTATTTCTGTGAATACTTACAAGTAGAAAGCAATTTCCCTGAAGAAATATCATCATTGTGTGTAAATCAAGGCGAAACTCAGCTGCCGGATCCTAATACAGTAGTGAAAGCTACGTTCCGTTCTACCTGATATACTCGCCTGTGATACCTTATTAGAACATGAAAACTTTGCTATGTAGCTTATATTATATAGACAAAACTGGATGCTTGATTTACAGGACGTCTGTAGGAGATAGCTTGGTTCTGTCTGATTTACAGGACGTCTGTAGGAGATAGCTTGGTTCTGTCTTATTTACAGGACATCTGTAGGAGATAGCTTGGTTCTGTCTGATTTACAGGACGTCTGTAGGAGATAGCTTGGTTCTGTCTGATTTACAGGACGTCTGTAGGAGACAGCTTGGTTCTGTCTGATTTACAGGACATCTGTAGGAGATAGCTTGGTTCTGTCTGATTTACAGGACGTCTGTAGGAAATAGCTTGGTTCTGTCTTATTTACAGGACGTCTGTACGAGATAGCTTGGTTCTGTCTGATTTACAGGACGTCTGTAGGAGATAGCTTGGTTCGATCTTATTTACAGGACATCTGTAGGAGATAGCTTGGTTCTGTCTGATTTACAGGACGTCTGTAGGAGATAGCTTGGTTCTGTCT